CAGGGATGGAACTGCCACAGCTTTAATCAGACAGCACCAGAAGCCACAGTTCCTCTTCACAACGGAATAATGTTAAACCCAACCTCAATTTTCTGAATGGAAGGCACAGCCCTCGCCCCCCTCCCCCTTGCATTTGAGTTTCTAAAAGGGAGCTGACAAAAAAATGCTAATTCGTGTGTGCCAAGCTCCTTTTCCTTCGAGGAGGGAGACGAGCACCACCTTGGAGACGGATATTAAATTTTCATGCAACACAAACACTGACTAATAAAGCAAGTCTTCCAGAGGGTGTTTTCCTAACGCAGCTTTCCTTAGTTTGTTTCCTTTCAGCCTGAAGAAACCAGCAAAGAATGAAACAAGGGCTCTGGAAAAAAAAAAATCAGGGAGTAGAGGGGGAAGAGGGATAATAGAAAATCTGGGATTTTCACAGCTGTATCTGCACGTCCTACGTGAGTTTCTGGGGAAAGATGAGCAGCACTGGCTCATGGGAAAGGATGTTATGGATAATTTCCAGCCCAAAGAGGAGGTGTAAACGCTCTGCACCTACAAGAAGCGACAACCCCCTATTTATTTAAATTCCCTGACATGCACCGAGCACGGCCCAGATTGTTGTGTACAGCAAGGCTTTACTCCTGCAGGCATGGCAGGGAAAAAAACCGGGAGTTCACACGTTGGAAACCCCTTGGTTGGAATGCCCAGACCACCTCTGTCCCTAAAAACCAGCTTAATGACACTTCTGCTTTTCCGGGGAACTGGAAATTCTGAGTCTGGTGACGCTGCAGGAAACTCGTTGTACCAAATGAAGCCGCTCCAAGGACCAGGAACGTTTTCCAGATCTGCCCAGAAGTACTTCACAGATCGGATCTGGAGATCAGCTGCCCTTTCTTCAGCAGGAATATCGCTCAGCTCATCAGGAAAACATTTAAACTCTTATTTCTTACAGGAGAGGCACTGAGGTGATTTTCAGCCCAAAACACTGAGTCCATTTCCTTTCAATTATCCTCCAATTCCCCCCAGTATTCCCAAATCCTAGATTTATCAGACTGCCCCAGGGAGCCTGTTCTGTGAGCAATTAAGGGCTCTTCTTCCCAACCCTGATGGACAGAGCCCTTCCAATCTCAGAATCCCAAGGATTTCACATTCCACAAGCCCAAACCGTGCCTGGAATCCTCTGCAAGCAGCACATCCCCCAACCCCCTGGCAGCAAATAAATACTCATTTTAGGCCAATGGGAGGGAAGGGCATTAATGACACTCTCAAGTGGATCTAAGGGAACTCCAGGAGGATCAGCCACAAACAAAGCCAGGGAACAAAAGCAGGAAGCACAAAGCAAACATCGTTATTGCTCCTGTTTTTCGGTGCCTCCACAAGAGTATTCCATCCAAAGCCCCGCACAAAAGCAAATTATCAGCTCCCTTCTCTGCCCTCAAATTGGTGACCAGATTTTCCAGCCCTGCTTCCAAGTGGCTGCAGCGGTTCCAGGGGCAGATGCGAGCACGTGGCCGTGCAAGAACAAAGTATTGGCATAAAACCACGCTGCTCCTTCCCGGGGTGAATTCCAGCCTGGAGCAGCTCCCCCCCTCCCCAAACCACTTCACCTACACGCTCTCAAGCCCATCTCCTGCCTTTTTTTTTTTGCTCTATCCTTTCCCTGGGCTTTAGAAGATGCGATTTAAGAGCTGTTACTCGGCTGAGAATATCTTGAGTGCAGAGAAAAAAAAAAAAAAAAAAAGGCGAAGCTCTCCCAGATCAAGGAGCTAATTCCAAGTGCTGCGCTTGGAACTTCAAATTGGAAAAAAAAAACTTCTTCAAGGGAACTGTTTAAGAAAAAGAGCACCCAAGGGTCTCCTGAATTAATGCAATGAGACAACAGCTTGGTCAGCAGCGGCATTATCTCAATATATTGAGGATTTTCGGCGTGGATTTCACAGACAGGAAGCTCGGCGTTGGAAATCTGATTGCTCTTTTCAAAAAGCTGCCAGAGGAGGAAGCCAGGAAAAGTCAAATCCCCCACATGCATTCCGAATTATTATTTAACTTCATCAGGACATGATAAAAGCATTGCTGGCCCTATTTTTTTGTTTGCTTTTAGTTAAAAAAAGCGAGTCTTTTCTGTGAAAACAGTCCCCACCCCAGTCGTTTGTTGGTGTTTCAACAGTTAAATGTGAAATGATGAAGATGGTAACAAACACCTGGTTGGGCATGGGATTATTTTAGTAGTTGCCCAGAGAAGCTGTGGCTGTCCCTGGATCCCTGGAAGGGTCCCAGGCCAGCTTGGAGCAACCTGTGCTGGTGGAAGGTGTCCCTGCCCATGGCAGGAGATGGAACAAGCTGACTTTTAATTTCCCTTCCAACCCAAACCATTCCGTGATTCTGTGATTATTTTGGATCTACCATGAAAGAAGCAACTGGGAAACAATGGAAAGACGTGGAGCAGTGTCAGACAACTGCTAAGGAAGGTTATTCCCTGACATCCAGCTATTTAACCAGACTTGGAGAGCGTTGATGCTGCAGATCAGGAGGTGTTTGTACATCCAAGGCACTGATGTGTCCCTGGAACTAGCAGAGGAATGTTATCCATTCCAGGAGGTCCCAACACTCAGCATGAAGACGGGAGCAGGACAGGACTCAATCCTGCTCAGTAATTCCAGCACTTGAAGCTCCAGCAGGGAAGGTTTGTGCAGAGGTGACAGAGAGGATCCAGCAGGAGCTGCTTTGTCTCACTGCTCCAGATTTCCCACTGTCGAATCCTTGGATAAAGCAGCCTGGAAATAAGCAGGGAGCTCACTGCAAACATTAACAGAACCTCCCCAACTCAAATATTTATGTTGGTCCTTCGGTGCGAGGCAGGAAAGAGCAAAACATCTCAGATGTTTCCAAAACACGGAATTATTTCACAGGTGAATTTCTGTTCTTGAAACAGCCCTTGTAAAATATCAGATTGTCCAATAAAACCAGCAAAAGGGACAATAAACCGGTGAGAATTCAGGTTAAATATTAGCCATGGGTTTGCCTCTCAAGGAACAGACCATTTAAATAAATCCATGGAATGGTTTCTGTTGGAAGGGACCTTAGAGATCACCTGGTTCCAACCCCCTGCCATGGGCAGGGATACCTTCCACTAGCCCAGACTGCTCCAAGTCCCCAAATATATAATATTTATATATTATTAACATGTATGGATAGACAGAAATATATACAATGAATACATAAAGACATCCACACCCACCTCCTAGCAAATTTATAAACCCACAGATGGAAATAATGCCTCCAGGAACTAAATAAAAAGCACATAAATGCTCTTTTTTTTTTTCCCCAGTGTATTCATTAAAATTGATTATGTTTAAGTATTTCCTACTTGAATAGCTTATTCTCTTATTACCAGGGCACAATGTTTGAGTGAGCCCTTCAAGCAGCAGCATGGAAGAGAAAATCATTTTAAAGCACAATAATACCCTAATGAAAAGGGAGCAACAGAATGAGGATCAGGCACAAACGCTGCCCCCAAATCTAATTTGAGCACTTAAACTGATTTGATTCAAATCTCCATCATCCTTGGATCTCTGGAGCAGTTTCCTGACTTTTCCCAAAGCTCTGAACGGCCTCAGGTAGCTTTTTAAAGACAATGGGGTTTGGATAACGAGCTTTTGACCAAAAGCTGCCATTTATTTAAGGATGGGAACTGTGATAGTTCTTTTCCAGCTCCCAGCTCTCTCAGGTTGCCATTTACCCGAATCTAGAGATAAAATTCCTCTTCCCTGTAATATTCCTTGGCCAAGGACACACCAACTCCTTCATAATGTTCAATCAGCAACACATAACTGCTCCCATTAAATTAATAAAAAGGGAGTTAAGGGATACACCCTAATCTTTTTTTTGCTTTCTCTGTCAGGCTGGATGGTTAAGCCCTGCTTATTTTCCATCTCCCACCTCAAGAGAAGTAAGTATTATCATGAAAGGAGAACCAAGTGCCTTGACATACAAAATCCAGATTCCTGGAATCACTTGCTATTTCATTACAAAGCCAAAATATTATTTTCAGCCACAGTCAAACATCAAACTGCCCATCCCCGAGCCTACACACACAATCCACAGCGACTGTTCCTGGAGTCAATCATTATCCTGCATTCCTTAATCCAATCCTTTACAATCTCGGGACAATAAATCCGTGTGAACCAGAGGTCATTTCTCACCCCGAGCTTTACCTCCCTTGGCAGATGAGGAGCAGCTGAGGGAGCTGGGGGGGCTCAGCCTGGAGAAAAGGAGGCTCAGGGGGGACCTTCTGGCTCTGCAACTCCCTGACAGGAGGGGGGAGCCGGGGGGGGTCGGGCTCTGCTCCCAGGGAACAGGGACAGGAGGAGAGGGAACGGCCTCCAGCTGTGCCAGGGGAGGGGCAGGTTGGACAACAGGGAAAATTCCTTCCTGGAAAGGGTTGTCCATCCCTGGCACAGCTGCCCAGGGCAGTGTTGGAGTCCCCATCCCTGGAGGGATTTAAAATCCCCGTGGATGTGGCACTTGGGGACAGGGGGCAGTGGTGGCCCTGGCAGCACTGGGGGAACGGAATGGTTGGACTGGATGACCTTAGAGCTTTTCCACCCTTAATTCCACGTGCTAAGGAGGCAGCAGGCTGACAGGACTCAGTTTAGGCAGGAGCAGGGACCATCCCTGCTCACAGAGCTTGGAGGGGCCTGTTCTCCCAGCCTGCAGCACCCTTCGGATTGCACGCCCAGTGCCGCCAATTGAACTCTGGAGTCTGGAGCTCCCACCACTCCAAATGTCATCCCAGGATGCTGCTGCAGCTCTGAGGCTGGGGGATCTCTCTCCTCCCTGCCAGCAGCAGCTCCTGTCCTGCCCAGATCTCACACAGCTCAGCCCAGGAGGTTTGCACAGAAATAGAAAACACGGCCCATATTTTCTACTCCAGCTTCTGTCACCACCGAGATCTTTATCTCTGAGCAGCTCCAAGCGGCTGGTTCCACATCTTAAAAACACTCAAGGTCAACTGAAATCCTTCCTAAGTCAACCTCCTCCACCCCCAAGAGCACCACTGATGGCCGGTGCGTTATTTACACGTCCAAGCACAGCCTAAATAAACAGATTTCCCAAGGAAAAAGGGAACTGGAATATCATCAGCCTGCCACTCGAAGCTCCACCGTTCATCCCCCGCTGCCAACACGGGGAGATGGGAGGGATTAGCAGGTTAATGAAGCACAAATTGTGTCTTTACAGCCCCGGTGCTCAATGTAAATAAAAGCAGCCGAGGCCGCAAATACAATCCCCACATACATCGAGATAAGACAGGGCGATTACCGTGCCAGATCTCTCAGCCAACCCGATAAGCACGTGGGATATACCACCACACTCAGGGAATCATTTTCACCTGCCCTTCCACTTGCCAGCTGTGGCTCCAGCACCTCGTAACACGTCCTGTCCTTTAAAGCCAAGCTCTTGAGGGCCATAAACAAACACACCAAAAAAAAAAAAATAAAATAAATAAATACCTCCTCCAGAGCCACTTCTGACAGGACACAGAGCAAAACTCCAGGCACGTGACTGCAAAAGTTCTAAAACGCTGCTAAAAGCGCTTCTGGGGCTCAAAGTTTGAAAACATTAGTGGAAACTTCGCCTCTTTCACAGAGAAATAAACAACCGAATAAAGCACCTCGAGAGGAAAACATTCGTTATGTTTCGGGCAAACTTTTAGGCTGGAATTGCATGGGAGAAAGAAACAAGAAGCTTTGCAAAGACGGGTAAGAGGATAAAAAAATCGAGGTTGTATCAGCAGTGGATACGTAGCAAATCTTTTTTTTTTATTTGGCATCATTCAGCAAAGAAGCCTCTGCTTTTACTTAAGTCCAGTCCCCCTTAAATGACCAACATCCTAAAGCTCTCCAGGAAAGCAACAGGTAAGTGGCTATTTCATGAAACTCAACTAGAGGGAAAGTCTTCTCACGAGAGTGGCAAAAAGACATTAAAAGAGCGGCTTTGGACTTGCCTGGCCTGGAATCATTTCTGTAAAACCCCCTTTTAAATTGGCTGTGTCACATCCCCCCTCTCTACAGACTGTCAGAAAAACCAAATAAATAATACAAATCTTTTTCCTCTGTGAGTTCAGCTCACACAGACAGCTCCCCTTCTCCCAAATCCACAGGGAGCATCATCCCAGGGTGCTCAGTACTTTCTGCAGCTCCCTGAGAAAGCAATCACTGCCCAGGATAATCATCCTTTTCTCAATTCCTTCTTTTCCAGGAACCAGCCGTGCCCAGGGAATTCACACACACACACAGAGTGCCTCTCTCTCTGCCACAGCTGATGGATCCAAGGCAGGTAACCATCTTACACAAACCCTGCTCCCAACACACACTCCAAGCTGCATTCCCAGCCCATTCCCAGGAACATTTCCACTTTCTCACCCATGTGGGAGAGACTTCAGACACACAACCCCACTGGGTGTCCCAGCACCGCCAGAACTGGCCCTGGCCCTGCAGTGATGGACTTTCCAGCACCAGACAGCCCAAAAGTCACCTCTGTGCTGTGCAGGCACCCCTCATTCCCACAGGCACATGGCCTGGACCAGTATGGAACCAGGTGGGTTTCCATCCTGCTTCCCAGAACCCTCCTTTAGCTTTTCTCCTTCCCAAAAAAAAATGCCCCTGCAGTGGTAGAATCCTCCCAGCACCCTCTGTCCCACTCCATTCCCTGCCCAGCCTTGTCCCCACCACAAACCCAGGAGCTTCCCTTCCACCAGGCTGCTCTTCCCACAGTCCCTCCCCAAGAGCCAGCACCATTCCTGCTCCAAGAGCTGAGCCTCCCAAACTCCAGATACTCCCTTTAGGATGCTGCTTCTCCCCCCTGCACACACCTCTCCTGAAATCACCTTTAACCAGCACCTGCTAATGTGCCAAGAGGAGCTTCTTTAACCCCCCCAAACACTCCTGTTGCCCCCACCCAGCCCTAAAGTGGCTCACAGGCCTTCCCCTTCCCCTCCAAACTGTTCCCAGCCTGATCCACATTAATCTCCACATCCCCCTGGATCAGCCCCTCACACTCACCCTGCTGTTGCCCTCAGGCTCAACCGGGGTCACCCCAGTGCCTGTTGTCCCCTCAACACGCTCCTACCCTGCACCAGCACCTTTACTGTCACCTGGGCCAGCCTCTTATCTCTGTGTCACCTGGCTCTGTCCTTTGCCCTCACTGTCACCTGGATCTGTCCCTCACCTTCATCATCACCTGGACCTGCCCCTTCACCCTTATTGTCACCTGGACCTGCCCCTTGCACCCCAAACCAACCCCTCACCCCCACAGCCCAAACCAATCTCTCATCCCCATACCCCGACCCTAAACCAACCTCTCACCACTGTACCCCAAACCATCCTGTCATCCCTGTACCCCAAACAAACCTTGTACCCCAAACCGTCCCCAGTGCCAAAGCCCATACCCCAAACCAGCCCCATCACCCCTGCACCCCAAACCAATGCCATACTCCAAACCAGCCTGTCACCCTTGTATCCCAAACCAACCCTGTACCCCAAACCAGCCTGTCACTCCTGTATCCCAAACCAACCCCTCACTCCTGTACCCAGAGTCAGTCCTCCTGTACACCAAACTGAACCCTCACCCCAAACGAGACCTTCACCTCTGTACCCCAGACCAACCTTGTACCCCAGACCAGCCTCTCACCTCTGCACCCCAAACCAATCCTGACTCCAAACCAATCCCTTAGCCCCGGACCTCAAACCAGCCTGTCACTCCCATACCCAAAATCAACCCTGCACCCCAAACCAGCCCTGCACCCCCAAAACAACCCTGTACACCAGACCAGCCTATCACTCCTGTACCCCAAACCAAACCCATACCATAACCAGTCCCGACCCTAAACCAGTTCCAACCTCAAACCAACCCCATACCCCAAGCCAACCCTGTACCCCAAGCCAGCCCCAATCCCAAAACAACTCGTCACCCCTGTACCCCAAACCAGCCTCTCACCTCTGTACCCCAAACCAATCCTGACTCCAAACCAATCCCTTAGCCCCGGACCTCAAACCAGCCTGTCACTCCCATACCCAAAATCAACCCTGCACCCTAAACCAGCCCTGCACCCCCAAAACAACCCTGTACACCAGACCAGCCCATCACTCCTGTACCCCAAACCAAACCCATACCATAACCAGTCCCGACCCTAAACCAGTTCCAACCCCAAACCAACCCTATACCCCAAACCAACCCTATACCCCAAGCCAACCCTGTACCCCAAGCCAACCCTGTACCCCAAGCCAACCCTGTACCCCAAGCCAACCCTGTACCCCAAGCCAGCCCCAATCCCAAAACAACTCGTCACCCCTGTACCCCAAACCAGCCTCAATCCCAAAACAATCCGTCACCCCTGGACCCCAAACCAGCCTCAATCCCAAAACAATCCGTCACCCCTGGACCCCAAAAACCAACCCCTACACGCCAAACCAACCCCTATATCCCAAACCATCCCCGATCCCAAACACCTCCTGTACCCCAAACCAATCTCATACCCCAAAGCAACCTCTATACCCCAAAGCAACCTCTATACCCCAAAGCAAGCCCTATACCCCAAAGCAAGCCCTATACCCCAAAGCAACCTCTATACCCCAAAGCAACCTCTATACCCCAAAGCAACCTCTATACCCCAAAGCAAGCCCTATACCCCAAAGCAAGCCCTATACCCCAAAGCAAGCCCTAGACCCAAAACCAACCCGTACCCCAACCCATCCCCCGCACCCCAACCCAGCTGCTCAGCCCCCTCCCCACCCCCCCGGCCCCGCCTGCGGCCGCGGGCTCTCACCTGAACCTCCCCCGCAGTGCTGGCACTGGTCGCCCACCCATCCCGGCTGGCACTCGCACTGCCCGGTGCCGGGCTGGCACCGCCCGCCGTTGGCGCACGGCTTGTCGCATTCCTTGGGCACCGCCACCGCCGCCTCCTCGCCGGCGGCGGCGGCCGCGGCGGGGCCCAGCAGGAGCAGCAGCAGCAGCGCCCGCAGCGGTGGTGCCGGCGGTGCCCGTGAGCTCCCGCCCTGCCGGCCTAGGGCCCGCCGCGCCATGGGGCCGGGGGGCGCGGCGCGGGCGGGGGGCGGCGGCGCTGCCCGGACCATCGGCCGCCGCGGGGCCTCCGCCGCTCCCGCTACGGTGGCCGCGAGTAGAGGGGAGGGGAGCGGGGAGGGAGGGAGGGAGGGACGGGGGGAACGGGAGAAGGGGGAGGGAGCGGGAGGGGCGGGATCCCTGACGTCAGGCGGGGCGGGATGGCGGGGGGGATGGCCGGGTCCCCGCGCCGCGGGTGCGTCCCGGCTGCACCGCGCCCCGGGGAGCGCGGTCCGCGCAGGTTTGGCAGGCGGGGCTTGCTCGTTCCCCGGGCGGCGGAGTGGCGCTGTTCTCGCCGGGAAACCGGCCGCGTTTCGGACGGAGCCGCCGTGAAATTCGAGCCCCTCGACTTCGCGTTTAGTTGAGTGTTCCAGGTGAGAGAGAGCGGCAGCCCGAGCGCTGCCCCCCTGGTAGAGGAAGGGGGGACAGAATGTTCCCAGTGGACAGGGAACACTGTCATGGAGTCATTGAGGTGTTGGAAAAGAGCACTGAGGTCATCCAGTCCACCCTGTGCCCGATCCCCGTCTTGTCCCGCAGCCCTGAGTGCCACATCCTGTCATTCCTTGGACACCTCCAGGGGTGGGGACTCCACCCCTGCCCTGGGCAGCTCCTTCCAGTGCCCGACCACCCTTTCCAGGAAGAAATTCTTCACAATATCCGACCTAAACCTGCCCTGGCACAGCTGGAGGCCGTTCCCTCTCCTCCTGTCCCTGTTCCCTGGGAGCAGAGCCCGACCTCCACCCCGGCTCCCCCCTCCTGTCAGGGAGTTGCAGAGCCAGAAGGTCCCCCCTGAGCCTCCTTTTCTCCAGGCTGAGCCCCCCCAGCTCCCTCAGCCACTCCTGCTGCTCCAGCCCCTTCCCAGCTCCGTTCCCTTCCCTGCACACGCTCCAGCCCCTCAATGGCTCTCCTGTCTGAGGGTCCCAGAGCTGCCCCCAGGGCTGGAGGTGCCTCAGCAGGGCCAGCACAGGGACGGGCTGTGCCCTGGGATGGAGCAGCCCCGGGCTGGGCTCCGTTGTCCCCCATGGAGCACAGAGACCCCACTGTATATGGGATGGGCCCAAAAAGGCCCCTCAGGAGTGGGATTGTGTCTCCCCCATTCCCGGAATGCACCCCCAGTCACCCCACACACGGTCCATGAGGGTGGCCCTGAGGTGAGGGGAGGCCTCCCTGGCTGGAAAGGGTTCTGAGCAACCTGGGAAGAAAACTGGGGAGAAATTCCTGGCTGTGAGGGTAGGGAGGCCCTGGCACAGGTTGGGCAGAGAAGCTGTGGCTGCCCCTGGATCCCTGGAAGTGTCCCAGGCCAGGTTGGAGCAACCTGAGCTAGTGAAAGGTATCTTTGCCCATGGCAGGGGATGGAACAAAGTGGTCTTTAATGTCCCTTCCAACCCAAACCAGTCTGTGATTTTATTATTCTAACTGTGTAAGCAAGAAAAAATAGGATCTGCCAAAAGGGATGCCCTTCCTACTCTGGAAAACAAGCTAATGCTCTCCAAGGATAGCTAGGCCTTAGCTTGAAACAGCAAAGGACTGGACGGATGGAGGAAGAAATAAAGCATTTAAACCTCTTCCTCTCCTGATTTTTTAGGCAGAGCAGCAGACTGTGCTGTGCATGCAGCTAGGATGCCCTTTGTGACAGGAAGGGTGGAGCAGAAGCAGAGATGCTGTGTGAAAATTTCAGACCTTTCATTTTTAGCAGAGTGACAAAAGGAGCGAGAAAGTTGACGGTGTTTAGAGTTCCTGCGTAAATGTTGCTTTTGGTCTGTCTACATTAATCTGATTATATCTGGATTTACTTATGTAATTAATGCCATGTTTCAAACGTGGAGTCAACGACTGAGAATTATTTTTTTTAAGGAAGGCAAAAAAAAAGATACTATTCATATTTTTCCCTGTAAAAAGGGGACCAGGGTCTAGGTACAGCAGTGCAAAGACAGACAACAGACTGTTGTGAAAATAACCAACTCATCATATTTAAATAGTTCATTTGTACTTAAAAGCCAGTTATTTACTGTGTAAGCTGAGGGAGGTTCTCAGTGGGAGCCTTGGTGATTTCCAGCTGGGGGAATGAAGAGTGCTGAGCAGATAGGAAAGAAAAGAGTGGTTTGTGTCTTGTCAGTCAAGCATCTCTCTAACAAAACCTTTGCTCAGATATTTTGCCTTTTCTGCTTGGGGCCTCAAGAAGGAGGATGAAATCTTGGGCTCAGGAGATACAAGCCCAAAAAGGTGTGAGAGGTGAGAAATAGGTTATGAATTCCTTCTAGGCTATCCAGAGATGGAGGCACAGAGGAGGGTATTTGTACACACATCTGTATTCCTGGGACACAAACAACTGCCAGCATGCCCTGGGTCTGTGGAGTCAGATTCCATCCCCTGCCATGATCCAAGGGGCTGCCAGAAAAGCCAGTCTGGCTCTGGGAGTCCCCCAGCCCAGGATGCAGCCAGTGAGTGATGTTGATGTCAGGATTGTCACTGTGGTAGGGTGATCCTGGATGGGCACTGGGTGCCCCCCAAAGCTGCTCCTGCTCCCTCCTCACCTGAGAAGGGAGAGAAGATGCAATGAAAGGCTTGTGGGTCAAGCTCAGGGCAGGGAGAGCTCGCTCACCGATTTCTGTCACGGGCAAAACAGATTCCACTTGAAGAAAACAGTTTAATTTATTACCAACCAAATCGGAGCAGGTCAGTGGGAAATAAACCCAAATCTTAAAACACCTTCCCTCCATCCTTCCCTTCCTTCTGGGCTCAACTCCCCTCCTGATTTACTCCACCTCCTTCCCTTCCTTCTGCTCTGGCCTGGGGGTCTACAGGGTTTTCCTCTCACATCTTCCCACTCCCCTCTCCAGCTGCTGTTCTGCAGGGCTTTTTTCTCCCCTTAAATGCGTTATCCCAGAGGCTCCACTGCCATTGCTGATGGGCTTGGCCTTGTCCAGCAGCAGATCCATCTTGGAGCAAGCTGGCACTGGCTCCACGGACACGGGGGGAAGCTTCCAGAAGCTTCTCACAGCAGCCACCCCCTGTAGCAAAACCTTGTCACCCCAACCCGGCACAGTCATACACGGGCACTGCCAGCACGAGGTGCTCCCACCAACCGATGCCAAGGGGTTCCCACCGGTGGAAACGTCCCTGGCACAGCTCCAACACCACATGGATTAGCCAGATATCACCAGCTCAGGGCTGGGTTTGGCATCTGCCTTCAGATATCACGCCCGTCCTCTGCTTTGTCCCTCCCCTGGTCTGTTGGTGTTCACTTGTGGTTATCACCTGTAACAATACTTGTATTTTCACGGCATCTGCTCCCCCCCTCTCTTGCCCACTGTTGCACAAGAGGTGGGAAGGGAGAAACACTGGTTAAGAGGGTGAAAATAAACTTTGGAGCAATTGCTCCCATCCTGGCTCTCGGTTTTGGTGTCAGGCTTGGCAAACTGCTTCTGTGCTCAACAGTTTATGTGGGTTTGGGTTTTTTTTCCAGCTCTGTGGAAAAAAGCACAAGATGTCACCTCTCCTTAGATCTCTCCCCACCCTCCTTCTGATTGTAGTTCCTTAAAAATCATAAAATCATGGAGTGGTTTGGGTTGGAAGGGACTTTAAAGATCGTCCAGTCCCACCCCCTGCCATGGGCAGGGACACTTTCTGTTATCCCAGGTTGCCCCAAGCCCTGTCCAACCTGGCCTTGGACACTTCCAGGGATCCAGGGGCAGCCACAGCTTCTCTGGGCAACCTGGAAAACTGGGAATTCAAAAGGGCAATTGGAAATCAAAAGGTTTTCTACCAAAAATAACTCAAGTTATTAGATTTATGCAGGGGTTGATAGTTGCTTTTTATCAAGCAGCTTTAACTCCCTTAAATGAAGAGTTCAGGAGGATCTTCCAGCGAATGAGAGCAGGCAGAGAGAGTTGTGGGATCACAGCCTGGCTAACAGAGGGTTCACCAGCTGCCTGTGGCCAGTCTCAAATACTTGGGAGAAGAGTAACACCCCTGAGTGTTGCACAAGAGAAGAAATCCTTCCCTGACCTTGTTGGTGATCACACTGTGCCCTGGCGCTGTCTGCATCAAACATTAACCATGGGAGGTCATTATTTTTAAATTAACTTTAATCTGTTCAATTTTAACATGCAAAAAAATGTTTGAAAATGCTGCTGCTTCTCCCCCCCCCCCCCCATTATTAGCAGGCAACTTTCTGATGTGAACTACGGTTTGGAAGGGGAGGAGTTAGGTATGCCCAGAGTGCTGGCTGGGCTATTTTTATCTTGGAAAACAAAAATATTTCATAATAGACATGCGAGGATGATTAAAACACTCTTTCCTGGCAACAGGCACAGCAGGACAATGGTGTTTTCACAACCACCCAGAGGGAGGGGATTGCACTGAGGGATGGAAGAGTCCTGGGTATCACAGCTAAAAATATAACCTCATCAGAGCAGCACTTCAGTGACTGATCTCTGCTCACTGTGACCAGGGATAGGACCCAGGGAACTGCTGGAGCTGTGTCAGGGCAGGCTCAGGGTGGATATCAGGAAAAGTTCTTTCCCCAGAGGGTGGTTGGCACTGCCCAGGCTCCCCAGGGCAGTGGGCACAGCCCCAAGGCTGCCAGAGCTCCAGGAGGGTTGGGATGATCCTCTCAGGGACAGGGTGGGATTGTTGGGGTGTCTGTGCAGGGCCAGGAGTTGGACTGGATGGTCCTTGTGGGTCCCTTCCAGCTCAGGATACTCTATTCCAGGATATTCCACGGCCCTCATGCAGGATGTGAAATAAACAACTAATTCCAGAGGCGTTTCCTTGGGCACTGATTTTGGACCACCCCACAGCGAGGAGGGACCAGCAGCACCCAGTTTGTTTGGAGTGAGGAGCCACACTCACCTCTGTTCTCTCTCCTCTGCCAAACCTTTATGGCCCCATCTGTTGGTTCCGTGTGCAGTTGAATCCATATTTACTCAGCACATATTTGCTCTGTACGGGAGCCAAGTGACTCCCCACTTCATATGGCCAATGACAGGACAGCCGGAGATGCTAATTAATGAATTGGCCTCTGGGGTGAAATTACGTCCTCGTTAAGAAGACTCCCATTGATATTAATAAGGTCAGAACATCATTGCTGGTGGCTGAGTCACTGCTGAGCTGGATATCAGGGCTGTGTAAACAGTGGAGCAGCCCTGGGAAGCTGGTTCCACGGTGTGTTTATCAAAATGGATCGAGTCATGGTGATATCTGGGGGCAAAAATCACATGGAGCCACGACCATAATGCTGCACTGTTCAGGCTTTTCTCCTTCCACGGGGATGAGCCCACAGGAGGCCTGAACTCCAGAAATAACTCCCCTCCCAAGGGGCCTGCAGTCAGCTCTTTCCAATTAGCTCATAACCCAGCATCAACAGTTTTTGTGTTCCTCACCCAGCCTGCTCTTTCCACCCGTTGCAACCTCTGCCCACGTTCCCAAATCCTCAGCATCTTCCAGCCCAGTCCCTTGTCCTGAAGGTCCTTGCAGCTGCCCTGCGTGTGTCCAGGTGACACAGGCCAGGCTGGCTCCAGCAGCGTGTCCTTGCTCCCTGTCCAAAGCCTTTTCCCTGCTCTGCCAGCAGCAGGAGAGGGATATTCTGCCAGCCAGCACTGAGATCATCCCTTGCACCCCAACAGCAATTCCTTGCCTTCCCAGGCTGAGGAAAACAGCAAGAGATTCCTGCTGTGACAAAGAAGAGCCCTCATGTAGCACTAAGGCTTTTCTCAGTAAATGCAACTCTTTAAATGCCCCAGCAACTGAGATGGCTCAAAACAAACCCCCCATTTTCCCCAGAGCTCTTCTTCCCTCGGTGCTTCACCTCTGCAGCACCACAGAAGTCTGAGTTGCAACAGGGTCGTGCCCAGACCAAAATATACTCACTTGAGATGCTCATCTGCTGCCTGAGGAGGTGTGTGGGCCAACCCTGCATTTAACAGCTGCTACGGGGTCTCACTGTAGAGTCACAGACTGGTTTGGGTTGGAAAGGAGCTTAAAGACCATCCAGTTCCACCCCTGCCATGGGCAGGGACACCTTCCACTAGCCCAGGGTGCTCCAACCTGGCCTTGGACACTTCCAGGGATCCAGGGGCAGCCACAGCTTCTCTGCCCAACCTGTGCCAGGGCCTCCCCACCCTCCCAGCCAACAATTCCTTCCCAATATCCCATCTGTCCCTGTCCTCTGGCAGTGGGAAGCCATTCCCTGTGTGCTGTCCCTCCATGCCTTGTCCCCAGTCCCTCTCCAGCTCTCCTGGAGCCCCTTTAGGCCCTGCCAGGGGCTCTCAGGTCTCCCTGGAGCCTTCTCTTCTCCAGGCTGAACAACCCTGCCTCTTCCTTCAAAACACTCTCTGGGTCATTTGAAGGGCTTGTTTATTTATTTTTTTTTTCCTCCCCAGACTTCCTGCAAACAACTCACACTTGTTTTGTTTCTGTTTCCTCGATCCTGTCCCAGACCTCCCACTGGCACAAGTCCTACCCGTGCCAACCAGGAGCTAATTCCCCAGCTGGCATCAAATTTGGAGTTTGCCAAAGGTCTGGTTTTGAGCTCTTTTTTTTTTATCTTTCTTTAAATGGGGACGTAATGACCAAAGGTCCTCCTAAATGTGCTTAATAAGGGAAGAAATAGAGTAACTAAAGTGCTGCCAGGAACAAAGGTCTGAGAGATTCACAGGCACGATAATGAGGAATAGCTGGAAAATACCTGCATCTGCACAGGTGCAGTTTGGATTTTTAGGATAGGGGAAAATTAGTAACAAAACTTGGTTGAAGCACAGAAATTAGGAGAGAAGAGGAAGAATATGAGACCCTCCCAACGCTGTTGTGGACACGGTGGTTTGTGAGTGGGTGACAACCTCACCTAGACTTGGGTTATGTCACCTGTGCAGAGCCCTGCAGCTAAAGTTGTGACTTTGGCTTTCTGTCTCCTTAAAAATAAATGCTATTTCAAAGAATCATAGGATGGTTGGGGTTGGAAGGACCTTCAAGATCATCTTCCAGGATTCTGTAGCACCACAAAGGCATCTGGATCCGTGCAGGTTCAGCAAAAAGCATCTCAGTGGCCGAGTTCCTCACGGTGTGTCTGCTCTGCTTCTGGTTCCCTTGCAGATTTTCTGTTTTCAGGCCATGTCTTGAAAGAGCTTCACGGAAAGATGTGACCCATTTACCTCCATCTGATTTCAGGGGGAAGATGTGCAGGCTCTGAAGAGCAGCATCTTCATGCAGCAACTACCCACCTGGCCTCAGGGTGGGTAATTACAAAATCAAAGTGTCTGTTTTGGGGTAATGTTGATTTGTATAAACCAGGGACTAAGGTAGGGCCAAACCTGGAAATCGTGGCTCCCAGCCCAGAGCCATAATCTTTGGAAAGCCACTCCTCCAAAGTCCTGGCATATTTTGAGATAACCCCCAGCTTCGTAAGAAAAATCGAAGCGTTGTGTAAAGAATAAGGAGGGGAAAGGGAGGGGAAAAAAGTCAGAAGAAAGTAACTTTCTGCTGGGAAGGGAAAAATCACAAGGCAGATATTTTTTGCAAACTACAACAGACTGGTAAATTTGCTGCAGGAAGAAAAGCCAACCACACTTTCGAGCCATGATATTTCTAAAGAAGAAAGGCTTTGTTTGGGAGCAAATCTTGTGCAGAGCCCAATTGTCCAATTCCAGCCTGGCTTTGGGAGCAGGGTGTTGAATACATCGAGCACAGAGCAAAGTCCCAAGCGTAGCAAGTAATTGAAAGATCATTGACCAACAATAGCAAGTGCAGATGAAGTCTGGGGAGAGCCTGGACGCTGCAAAAACAGCTCCATCCTCCCTCCCTCCTCCTTCCCTCCGTGGAGCGAGAGGATAACGAAAGGCATTCAGAGCCGAGGAGTGCGACCCTCCCCACACTGAGCCGAGGGAAGGGGCTGAAAAGAGAGGAGCTGCTGCCATTATCCAGGGTATTCTTGGCAGGAATAAAGGGAGGAGAGGCAGATTTGTGGGCTCCAGACAAAAACCCCAAAGAGAGCGGCCGAGACAAGGCCGCGCTTTGTCCAGGGCCACGCCAGACTCTGCCGGCTGCGACCTCGGTGGCTCCCGCTCTGACGTGGGGCTGGGAGAGCAGCTGGGACCCAGGAGTTTGGTGCAGGGGAGCCTTGGCAGCCCCACGGTGGGTGCCAGACTCCCACCCTGCTCACTCGCACCCGTCGACAGGCAGGCAGATGGTGCCGGGTGCGTTCGAGGAGGTCTCGTCTCCCACAGCGAGGAAGAAGAGGAAGGAGATGCTTTTCCCCATCCTCACCTTTTCCCTGCTCACTTGTAGGGGTTCCAATGCCTGCCTTGGCTTCCTTGGCTCTGCCCTGCCTGCTGCCCAACCCTGGCTGGTGCAGCGACGAGGGAACGTGACTGCCGCCCTTGCCGCGTGCCTGGCACTGCCTGGCTCATGTTCCTGGGGTGGAAACACCTTCCCTAATCGGCCCCTGGCACCGCCGTGCCTGTGGTGGCTCTCACTGCCAGGGGACCGTCAGAGGGGTCACAGGGAGGGCAGGCACCGCTCCAGGGGTGCCGGTGGGATTTTGGCTGCGGCACAGACAGACCCTGTGCACTGTCCAACCTCTGCTGGGGGCAGTCCCCCACCAGTTCTCTCTGTCTCCTCTTGGCTCACGCTGGAAGTTGACTCCTTCCAGCTCTTGAGAAAGACATTGGAATGGGAGAAGGTACTGAGCTCCATTTTCTCAGCTGCTTGAAGCCTTAATGACCTTCCCTGGCTACCACCAGGAAAGCAACTGTGGCAGGAGGCACCAGCCTCGGGCTTCAGGACTGTTTTGGTGACTCCCTGTCAAAAATCCCGGCTGGAACACACCCCTTGCACACCCAGTCCTCCCTGCTGTGCTCCCTGGGGTACGGAGCAGAGCTGGCTGAGGAGGTTTGGCCCCCTTGGCTGAGGGGCTGAGGCAGCACCTTCGTTAGCAGCTTCCAGGAGAGCCACTCCTGCCAAGCAGCTGCTGTGACTCCCCATGAAAACACCCTGTTACAAAGCCACTCGGTGCAAAGTCCTTTCCACAGCTGACTCCTTGGCACTCCCGACAAAAACAGCCCCAGGGTTCCACCTCTCGGACCCTGCTGCGCTTGGGACGGTCACCTTTCAGTGCCACTCAGGGCTGCTGGTCCTCCAGCTCTCCAGGAGCTCTCAGGCAGGGCTGGAAGGACCTACTGGGAACTTGGCTTTGTGCTGGAGGAAAGAGAGAAAGTTAAAAAAATAATGATTCTGAGAGCGTGTGCAGGGAAGGGAACGGAGCTGGGAAGGGGCTGGGGCAGCAGGAGCGGCTGAGGGAGCTGGGGGGGCTCAGCCTGGAGAAAAGGAGGCTCAGGGGGGACCTTCTGGCTCTGCAACTCCCTGATAGGAGGGGGGAGCCGGGGGAGGGTCAGGCTCTCCTCCCAGGGAACAGGGACAGGAGGAGAGGGAACAGTCACAGGGTGCACCAGGTGTAGTTTGGATATTGAGAATAATTCCTTCCTGGAAAGGGTTGTCCAGCCCTGGCACAGCTGCCCAGGGCAGGGGTGGATCCCCATCCCTGGAGGGATTTCAGATCCCTGTGGATGTGGCACCTGGGGACAGGGGTCAGTGGTGGCCTTGGCAGTGCTGGGGGAACGGTTGAACTCCATGATCTCAGAAGGCTTTTCCAACTGAAATGGCTGTGATTCTATGGAAGCACGAAGACCTCATCCTGACATTTGCAAGAAGAGAAATGCCTCAGTCCAACATTTGGGCTCCTCTCCATCAGTATCACCTTTCTTTTCAAAGCCTGTTACCTGTTTTGGACACTCCCCATCAGTGGGGATGCCCCTGGAGTACCTTACAAGTTGATTACTCACAGCCAGGCTTGCACTGGAAGGTGCTGGAGCAGAAATGCACTGAATGTGTAAGTTCCTGGCTGAGGAACTGAGTTAAATTATGTTTAATTATCTTGTCTTGCCTTTCACAGGTGTGACCCCCGAGACGTGTCACAAACTGCACCGCGAGGCTCCAGCTCTGGGAGCTCGGGAAGAGCCTGCCTGGAGCTGGCTCCAGCTTCCCACCATCACCTGCAGGTCAGCTGCTCCTTTTTCTTAGGGTGATATTCCACCTCTTCTATGGAGACAGGCTGAGAGAGTTGGGACTGTTCAGCCTGGGGAAGGGAAGGCTCCAGGGAGATCTCAGAGCCCCTTCCAGTGCCTGGAGATATTCCAGAACTGTCTGGATGCAGTCCTGGGCCATGTGCTCTGGGATGATCCTGCCTGAGCAGGGAGGTTGGACCAGCTGAGCCAACTCTGGTCCCTTCCAACCTGCCCCCTTCTGTGAACACTCTGGGAATAAAGGGGCTCCAGGAGAGCTGGAGAGGGGCTTTGGACAAGTGACAGCACAGAGGAGGATGCTTTTAAGCTGAAAGAGGGGGGATTCAAATTGAATATTAGGAAGCAATTCTTCCTTGTGAGGGTGGGAAGGTCCTGGCACAGGTTGGGCAGAGAAGCTGTGACTGCCCCTGGATCCCTGGAAGTGTCCAAGGCCAGGTTGGAGCACCCTGGGCTGGTGGAAGGTGTCCCACAGCAGGGGCGTGGAATGAGATGGTCTTTAAGGCCCCTTCCAATCCAAACCATCCACAACTCTATGATTCTGCAAGCCAAATGAGTACAGTGGCAGCAGCATTTAGCCCTCAGCATGACCTGGGCAGGCTGTTGGCTTCCCTGGGTGAAGTTACACTGGTTTCCATCAACTTAACACCTGGCTGGGGACTGTGTTGGCAGAACAGATGCAGACCCTGTTGTTGAGCCACCTCGGGCTAATCAAGTTTCCTCCACCACAGATCTTGTGGGACCCAGAGCCTCACCTTTATAGAAAGTTTATGAAACTCCTCTTTATCCAAACTTTTACACATGGATTGTAATTAAGAGGATGAAAGGTCCGGGTGAGTTCCGTGGGAGGGGCTGGATGTGGAGTTAAACCAGTGCCTGAAGCCCAAGGAGAGTGGAACTTCCTCTGTGCCCTCTTGAAGCAGCACAGAAGGAACTTGGTTTTGAGATTGTATCATCATCATTTTGCTTCCTCCTATCATGACAGGACAAACCAGTAAGGAGCTACTGGCTTTAAACTGGAACCAGTTCCCCAAACGCCTCTTGCGCCTCGGCACAAAATGGTTGGGCAAAGTGTAATTGGGATAATAAAGCCCAGCCTAATAATAGCCCTGGAACAGGTGTTTTGCTAGAGGTTGCACTGGAGAGTAAGAAACGCCTGAGAGAGGGGGATAAACATCCAGAACACACACAGAATACAGGGATGAACTCTTATGGAGAGAGCAAGCAGGATTGTGGAATCACGGAAGAACTGAGGGTGGGAGAAATCTTCGGGGTCCAACCCTCCCCCACTTCCTCCAAGCAGCTCAAAACCACCTCAGAGGAATGTTTGGGGCTTGCAAATAAGTGACTAATCAACACCTCTGACCACTAAATCGAGATAAATGGTTTCATGCAACTGAAGTGCAGCAGAGCTGCAGATACCTACACATTCCAGGGCTTAAAGCAGAGGATTAAACCAGTCTTAGGAGCCAGAGAACCTTGGGAGGCTGTTGGTTGCTCCGTGGTGTAACTCCAGCAGGAGCAGTAACACCAGGGCATGGTTTTTGGGAGGCACAGGCTGGAGGAGTAAACTTGGAGCAGACCTGCAGCAGCCTTGGCTCCGTGGTTGCTGCAAAACCCGGTGAGGGCTGTGAGGGGGCAGGAAGGGAGAGGGAAGTGAGGAGAGCAGGAAGCAGATGGGATAATGGGGCTGTTTTGTGGGGGATTTCTGGCAGTGTCCAGTCTGAGCAAAGGCAGCTGTGAGGAGGAGGAAAAGTGGGAGGCAAAGGAATGGGAGAAAAAAAACCCCACAACCCCCATTCAGCACAAGTGCAAGTGCAGGTTCAGGGCTATTAGGAGGTGATGAGACACCTGCCAAAACAGGAAATGTTGGTTTGGAGGGAGCAGGGCTGTCTTGTGCAGGCTCTGTTTGCTGAAAGGATCTACCCTGAGCACACAGGGGTGGCTGCTGCCGACGACGGGGAAACAGAGCGGGTTCTTCAGCAACCAGGCACTCCCCAGAGGTGTCTTCAGAGCAGGACTGTGTGTTTTAGAACTAGCCCTGGATGGAGGTGTTATCTGAGGATCTGTGAGTCAGCCTGGCTTTGGGGCTGGCAGATGAATAGCTGTTTTGAGCACAGGGGGTAATGCCCTTCTCACAGGAGGAGCTCTGAGCCTCGGTGGTCGATGCAAGCGGCGTGTTTGGTAACGTGCACAGATCATTGTGGTTCAGCCCTGAACGGGCAGGGAGAGCCAAAGAAAATGCATTCCTGGGCTGAACTGTGCTCCAGCAGTGAGCACTAGGAGAAAAATTCTTCCCTGTGAGGGTGGGGAGGCCCTGGCCCAGGTTGGGCAGAGAAGCTGTGGCTGCCCCTGGATCCCTGAAAGTGTCCAAGGCCAGGTTGGAGCACCCTGGGCTGGTGGAAGGTGTCCCTGCCCATGGCAGGGGGTGGCACTGGATGGGCTTTAAGATCTTTTCCAACCCAGACCACCCTGTGATTCCATGTCTCCATGTGAGCCCATCCCTGAGGATTTCTCTGCAGTCAGTAGAGAATTATCAGAAGCCTGGAGCACCTCTCCTAGGAGGAAAGGCTGAGAGAACTGGGGTGGTTCTGCCTGGAGAAGAGGAGCCTCCAGGGAGACCTTACTGCAGCCTTTCAGGACTTGCAGGGAGGCTCCAAGAAAGACTGGGACAAACTTTGAAAGTGAAGTTTGTCTTTGAAAGAGGAAAGCAAAACTCTGCCATGCTTTGGTCTGCAGATGAGTGTGAGTGGGATCCAGGTATCTCTGGGCCACACCACCTTTACAGAGAAGAATTCCTTCCCAGTATCCCATCTCTCCCTGCCCTCTGGCAGTGGGAAGCCATTCCCTGTGTGCTGTCCCTCCAGGCCTTGTCCCCAGTCCCTCTCCAGCTCTCCTGGAGCCCCTTCAGGCCCTGCCAGGGGCTCTCAGGTCTCCCTGGAGCCTTCTCTTCTCCAGGGGCTCCAGCCTGTGCCCATCCATGTCAGACCTCCTCAGACACACCCTGGATGTGTTGTCAGAGCCCCAGGTGAGGATCAGAGCTTTGAGGGGGTGGATTTTAAGCAAAGCCAAACAATCTCCCCTGCAGGAAGCTCGGAACTAAGGGGCAGGAAGGACTCAGCCAGTGGAGGAGCCGAGCGAAGGAAGGGAGAAGGATAATGGGCATAAAACTGAAGAGCTGGGAGTTTGCAGACTTGAGCAAGAGGTAAATTCCAAGCACTGGGAGGTGTTTTTCCAAAGGCCAGATGGAGGGGGAGAATTAAAGGAAAAAGCAGACAAAAATGTCAAACTCTGGGGGTTGCAAAAGTCTGCAGCTACACAGAGGAGGGAGTTCAAGTGGAAAAGAAGGGGCTTTGTTTGGTGCAGGCTCAGAGTGTGAGGCAGGGGAAGGCTGGAGTCACAAGGGCAGTGTGTCTGGGGGATCAGCTGGGGAGATGATCCCAGCAGCAACAGAGGAGTCCCAACATGCTCCTGGAGAGGTGTCATAAATAACCCAGCCCCTCAGGGCAGCTTTCATCCCCTCAGCTCACACAGAAACCCCATGACCATGGGAAAATGTGGCTCTTTTTCTCCACGAGCCCCATTTGATTTTTAATTTTACTATTTTTTTTTTCACTCTCCCTTAGCTCAGAAATGAACAGATTACTTTGGGGGGGAAAAACCCAGCAAAATCTAAATGGTTCACCTGTACAGAGAACTGGGGTCAAGGATTGAGGGGGCACAAAGGGAAAAATAACTCTCAAGGTGGTGTGGGGATTTCTGAGTGGGAACAGGGTAGGGTTAAAAACAGGGATTTTCACACTGGAGTAATTTCAACCACACAAAAACAAGCACCTCGTCGTAATTAAGTGCTGAAAAATAACAGCCTACCATTAAGTGATCCCATTAAAGTCTCAGCAGTGATGGTGGGGAAGCCTCAGTAATGGTGCCAGCCCAGGATATTCCCGGGGGGATCCACGAGGGAGCTCCTGGCCACGAGGTCGTCTCCAGGAAACGCCTTTGACCTCGATTGTTGCTCCTTCAGCAAACAGAACGGCTGCTGAACGTAAAAATTTTTACATTGCCCTATCAAAATGTGGGGACAGAGGTGAAGAGGAAGTACCTGACAGCAAGCAGCCACAAAGAAACCCGTCCCCCACATCTTTTGCCGTGGCTTGAACTCCCCAAACCCCTCAATTTGCCCACGGTGTGGGCAGGGCAGGCCTGGCATAATTTTAGGGAGTTCTCTGCCCTGGAGAGGGATCATTTCATGGGATCACAGAATCACAGATGGGTTTGGGTTGGAAGGGACCTTAAGGACCACCCATTTCCACCCCCTGCCACGAGCAGGGATGTCACTCACTGGTCCAGGCTGCCCTGATTTCTGCAAGAGCCACTCTGGGGGGGACCTCAACATCTCCCTCCCATTTCTATATCCTTTTTTTTTTTCCTGGTGTGAAAATACCTTCACCTTCTTGTGCCCAAAGCCCACAGAGCGTGCCAAAGTCCTGCCTGATGGCTGGGAGAGTTGCAGGAGCCGCTGAGGAACACCTAATCCAGTACTTCTGACTGCCGGTGTTATTTCCCTCAGCCCGCTATCTCACCTTAAGAGGAAAAGGATTAAAAAGGCTTAGAGAGGGGAGCTGGGCTTGTGTTTGGATGGGAGTCACTGTGGAGGCGGCGATTAAATGCTCCACTGGCTGTTTTTTAGAGGATTTGCCTTGTGGGAGGTGATGCTGTAAAAGTCACCTGCCTACCTAGAAAGTGATAAAGGGAAGGCAGGAGGGTGGATGGGGTGACTCAGGGGCTGCCAGGGAAGTTCCCTCTCTCTTTGGAGACACTGAGATCATGAACTTGTCTGAATCTCTGCCATCCAGGACTTAGTTCTGTTACATGAGCTCCAACTCCATCAGGAGAGAGTGGTGGACACGGTCCTTGGGGTGAAGGATTTCGTGGATCATTGGCCAGCTCTTGTCTCCAAAGAAAAACTGTCCTCCATGCCCCAGTCAACAGGGCAAACACAGATTTAAGGAGCTCCAAGTTGGTCAGGGAAGGAGAATTTCTGGTCAGATAATGAAGCTCTGACATCGGGAGGGCGGAGAATCCACGCAGGCAACGTCAGTGGAGATGACCCAGTGCAGGAATGACAACCACCACAGAACGGGATAGATCACAGAGTCATGGAATGGCTTGGGTTGGAAAGGACTTAAAATCATCTAATTCAGTCCTTCAACCCCCCCCTACCATGGGCAGGGACACCTTCCACCAGCCCAGCTTGCTCCAAACCCCGTCCATCCTGGCCTTGGACACTTCCAGGGATCCAGGGGCAGCCACAACCCCGCAGGGAAGGCTCAAAGTATAGCTGGAAAATCCCTTCCCTGTGCCAGTGGTCTTCCTCACCAGGTCTGCAAATCAGTGCTGGAGGAGAGGACCTGTTTTGAATGTGTGAGTCTTGGGCTCCTCACCCCTGGGGGGCCCTGCCCTGTGTGTTTGCTGCCTCAAGCCATTGTACACTGGTCATTGTTGGGTCCTGACTGTTCAGGTCACCACAGTCTTGTCCTGGCCCCCCTACAGGGTGACAGAATGACAGAACCAGGACCAAGAACGTGCAGATGGTCAGAAATTGCCCTGTGAGGTTCTCTGCTTTCCAGCTTCGTCACTGCTGAGTGGGATACATGGAGAGCATCCCAGTGGCTCTGCCAGCACCCAGAATGACCCCCCTGGCATCTTCTGTGTCCCTCACATCTTCTGTAACCACCCAGATGATTCATCCATCCCACCAGCGTTGCTCTCTTTCTGTCCTGAGTCCCTGGATCAATCCCACAAGTGTTTTTTTCCAGGATTAGATTTTAGGAAGAAATTCTTCCCTGTGAGGGTGGGGAGGCCCTGGCACAGGTTGGGCAGAGAAGCTGTGGCTGCCCCTGGATCCCTGGAAGTGTCCCAGGCCAGGTTGGAACAACCTGGGCTAGTGGAAGATGTCCCTGCCCATGGCAGGGGGTGGAATGAGATGATCCTTAAGATCCCTTCCAACCCAAACCAGTCCATGATAATTGACATTAACTGGTTTTGCAGCAGCATCTCAGGTCCCAGCCACAAGGGTGGGACATCCTGGCCATGCCACTCCAGACAGGACCCTCCCTCCTGTGGGGGCTGATCAGCCAAGCTGCCCTTTTTGGGTCACTGTGATCAGCCACAACCTCCCAGCCTGAGCCAGACCTGGCTCAGTGTTTAGGACCAGCAGTCACATCATCCCAGTCCCTCTCCACAAACCCATCACACCGAGCTGATGATCCCCTTGTGGTCCATCCTCAGCCCCCCATTCAATCCTTGCAGTGATTTAATGAACTAAGCCCCTATCAGGGTTGCTCAAGAGCTGGGTCTGCAAGCCCAGTCCGTCACTCCTGGGCCTGACCTTTTCCTGCAGGACAATCCCTCCTGCTCTGAGGGTATCTCCTTATCATCACAGCCTTGCTCAGAGCTTGTCACCACCTCATGTTTTCATTCACGGGGCACCTGGTTGTGTTTGTTGTCCCTACTAGGGGAGAATGTTGGGCCCTTTGGGATAATTGATCGGTGATGACAGGGAACTGGGATGAGATCCAGAAAATTCCCGAGGCTGGGAGGTACCTCTGAGGTCTCCATTCCAAGCCCTGCCCAAAGCAGAGCCAACCTCCAAGTCAGGCCAGGGTTCTCAAGGGCTTTGAGCAGGAAGGTGGTGATTGATTGCACCAGGTAAGGTGATTGATTGCACCAGGTAATAGGAGGCTCTAAAGGGTCTCTTTAAAATTCATTTGTGTATGGCCAGTTCTAGACAAGCTCTATGAAATATCTCTGCTTCCCTAAGCCCACCTTCAATCTGGAGATGTGAAAATAAGGAATTGATGCACTGGCCACGTAGCAATTCCTGGGGAAAGAGCAGACCTCAGCTGGCTCCTGGGAAGGAGCACAGAGCAGGGGCAGGTTTGTCCTGAGGAGCTCTCCATCCACACAGCCTTTGAGGGGGTGGTTTTATCCTACAGCAACCATCCTGCAAGTCTTTTACTTGCATTTATTTTGTGTGTTCAGGCCCGTTTCTCTGCTCTGTGGGCTCCAGGCTGTGGGGTTGATTTGGGATGCTGGATGCCTGGGAAGCCAGAGCGTGTTTTGTGTGGATGAGCTGCCCGTGCTCTGCCTGCGCCTCTCAGTGTCCTCCCCACTCCAGCCCGAGGATGCCTGGGATGGTTTGCACTGCCCAGGCCTTAGCTGAGCCATGACACCCTGGTGAGTCACACAGACTGTCCCCATGTCCCTCAGCTCCTCCGTGGAGCCACAAATCCCTCATTTTTCTGGCCGCCTCTTCCCCCAAATCGCTCCTACCACCACCTTGGTGGGCACACATAGACCTTCCCTCCCAAGGGCCACGTGCCTGGGGTGCTTTGAGCTCTGGAAGGAGCTCCTGTTTCAGGTACCTGCCTCCAGGAAGGTGCCTTAATATCTGCAAACAAGCTCCTTCAAAGCAGGGCAGTGGTTAGGGAGGAAGTCTCGGTGCAGGCTGTGGTTACAGAGGAATCTGTGTCTGGGCAGGCTTTGCCCACACTCTCCGTGCTCTTAAGGTGGCCTGGCTGTGCTGTGAGGGCTTTTAAGCCTAGTCCAACACCAAATCTCCTCCTGCCTCACCCCAAAAGTGTCTTTGGGCTTCAAAAGTTAAATAACGGTGAGTTTTCAGTATTTGATCCACTCCTGGAGCTGGAAGGAGAAATGAGACTTCCAGAAGACTCTTTTTCTTCTGGTGTCTGGGAGGCAGAGCTTGGGAAATCATGGAATGACAGAATGGTTTGGGTTGGAAGGGACCTTGAAGATCATCTCATTTCCAACCCCTGCCATGGGTAGGGACACCTTCCACCAGCCCAGGATGCTCCAACCTGGCCTTGGACACTTCCAGGGATCCAGGGGCAGCCACAGCTTCTCTGCCCAACCTGGGCCAGGGCCTGCCCACCCTCACGGGGGAGAATTTCACAGTGAATGTTTCATTTACTGAATATAATTACTATATTCCCTTGCACAGTAAATCCTCTCCTTGCAAGGCCCTTCTGACACCTCCCAGCGCTGCAGCACCTTGGAGACCCCAAATCCTTTGGGTGGCATCGACTTTCCCCCTCTCAGAGCCTTGATTTTTGGAGCAGAAATGCCACGTGGGACAGGACATGTATCCAAGCCTCCTCCAAGATCCTTTCCCTGGGATCTTTCCTTGGCCCTGAGCAGCCTGGTTGGGAAAGACCCAGGAGTCCAGCTTGCTGAGTCACTCGATGGAATTACATCACCCAACAGCATTTCCAGGTGATGCCAAGTGTGCTTTGAGCCTCTGGGGCTGCACAAGCAGGAAAGAAAGAGCTCCTGGCACAGGACTCAGCTGGAAGGACGTCAGCAAAGGGAAAGGATTCACTCCCCCAGTGGAGACTGGGGACACAAGGAGATCTGCTGGGAAAGGAGGAGGTATTTTCACTTGCAGGTCACAGAAAAAGGCATTTGTGGCCGAGGCTGCAGCCGCCTCCCAGACAGAGAGGCCCCTCATTGTTCGCAGGGACACCCTTGGCAACCCCTCAGGGCAGCCTGGAGATGAACCAAGGAGGGCTTTGTGAGGCCTCATAAAGGGGCATTATGAGCAGGGGGCCCCCCGGGAGGGCTGTGCCGGGTGATCCTCCCCAGGGGGAGCTGCGGGAAGCAGGAATCTCCAGGGGGTGGGTTGTGCTGGAGCTGGGGTGGATCCCAGACCAAGAAGATCTTCCTTTCCTGTGAAAGTGGTAAAATAAACACCTGGTGAAATCCAGTCCTAGTCGCTTCGTGGGATATTCTTGATTGTATCCCAAGCCTAAATCAGGTCCTTGGGCTCTTGAAAGGATTTTCCTTGCCTGTGGTCACTTGGCAGCACGAGGAAGATGGAATAGCCGTGACAAAGTGCCCTCTGGAGGGAGGCACGAGTGTGTTAAGAAGGATAAAATAAAGTTGGCTTCATCCCAGCCTTGCACACGTGGTGTCCCGTGGGGTGGGGTCTCCCTTTGTTGGTTCTGTGGCTGGAGAACCACCTGCCTTGAGGTGCAGCTGCATTCCCAGCCGTGGCAAGAGGAGGAAAAAAAGAGGGATGTTTCTCTGCCTCCTTATCTTGGAGCGTCTTGTTGAGCCAGGAGATGATGAGGAGGAAGCTCCCAAATCCTGTCCACGTGCTTGTCACAGCAGGACACATCACCTTGTCCATAGTCTGAGCAAACCAGCCTTTCAGGAGGAGGGGAAGGAGGAGGAGGAGGAGGTTGGTTTGTGTGACAGCCACAGCCAGGGCTGCTGCTGCTGCAGACAGAGCACAGGCACAGACACTCCTACTTATCCACCAGGAAAAAAAACAGGCCAGAGCAACCCTGGGTGTATTTGATGGAGAGGAACAGCAGCTGGAACCTTCTGCTGGGCCACAAACCCTGCAGGGTGAGCCCAAAAACCCCACAGGTACTCTGAGGAGTGATGCTCTTCCTCCTTTTGCGCTTGGTGTCGTGGCAAAGTCTGCCCCAAATCCGACCCTCTTGTCACAGCACGAGTGGGATGTGACCCCACAGTGGGGGACCCTCTATTTGGACAGGAGAGCTGTCCCTTTACTCCAGAGATTACAAGAGAGCTGGAGAGGGATTTTGGACAAGGGATGAAGGGGCAGGACAAGGGGGAATGACTTCCTATTGCCAGAGGGCAGGGAGAGATGGGATATTGGGAAGGAATTGCTGGCTGGGAGGGTGGAGAGGCCCTGGCCCAGGTTGGGCAGAGAAGCTGTGGCTGCCCCTGGATCCCTGGAAGTGTCCAAGGCCAGGTTGGAGTAACCTGTGCTAGTGGAAGGTGTCCCTGCCCGTGGCAGGGGTGGAAGCTGGGATGTCTTGGATGTGGGCTCCACCTCCTGGCTGCTCTGCAAACCCCAGTGCCCCTGCCCTGCTGCTCTGCTCGGGCTGGTTCCCAGCAGGGACAGCACCAGCCGGGCAGGCACTGCCACCACCACCACCTCTGCTCCCTCCCAGACTCCTCTCCACACAGCCTGTCCTTTTCCTAGAGAGCTGTGGAACCACATCCCAATTGCCAGGGCTTTTCCCAGGATGTGCTCCCGTCACGAGCCATGGAATCACCAAATCTTTTAGGTTGCAAAAGCCCTCTGAGATCATGGAGTCCAACCATTCCTCCAGCACTGCCAAGGCCACCACTGACCCCTGTCCCCAAGTGCCACATCCACAGGGATTTTAAATCCCTCTAGGGATGGGGATCCACCCCTGCCCTGGGCAGCTGTGCCAGGGCTGGACAACCCTTTCCATGAGGAAATCATTCTCAAGATCCAAACTACACCTGGCGCACCCTGTGACTGTTCCCTCTCCTCCTGTCCCTGTTCCCTGGGAGCAGAGCCCGACCCCCCCCAGCTCCCCCCTCCTGTCAGTTGGAGGAACTGGTGAAGCCAGGGAATGTCAGAGGTGGCTGCACCAAAGTGACCCTGTGGATCCATAGGATCCTTTCAATCCCACACTTAGGCCTATGGGGGCAGCTTGAGGGGCCCTAAAATTTATGCAGCACTGCTTAAATTTACCCCCTTCTCCCTTGCCATGGCAAACAAGGCTTATCTGGGATCTGGCCATGGATCAGGGCTCCCTCTCGGGGTGTGTCCTGATGGAGCTGTTCAAGTGTGAAGCACTGAAGTCTTCACCAAAGTGATGCTGGGAACAGCCCGAGCTGATGGAGCAGAACATTCTCCCGGGAAAGGGGAAAAGTTGGAGCGTCCTGCTCTTTTTCTTTTGTTACTCACACAAAACTGCCCTGGAGTCGGCAGAGAGGTGGAGAGGAGCATTCCCCAGCTCCAACCCCTGCCTGGGAGTTCAGGATCTCCCTGGACAGGGCTCCAGGGCAGCATCCTGAGCCGTGTCTCCCACTGGGAGATAAATAAGGAAGAGGATACAAAAAGCTGAGCTTTTCCTGTGCTTCCCAGGTGATTTCATGTCAACTGAAACATTTCCATCAAGCGCCGAAATAAATGAAGGGTTTGATTTTTTTTTTTTGGGGGGGGGGGGGTTGTGACAATGGAAAAGGAAAAAGCAGCACAATTTTCTGCTTGGCACTTGGGAAGTAGACAAGGAGTGAGAGCAGGAAATAGGTGATTCAGATGAGGGACAGATGAGCCAGCTGGGAATGATGGGATTAAGGTGAGCAGGAAGGGACTCTCGAGGAAGGTGCATTTTCAGCAGCCAGGAGCAGCTTTCCAAGAAAGAGATGAGAGTCCCAGCATGGGGAATTTGCAGCTTCCTATGGAAAACTCCATAAAACATCCTGCTGGGGATGGTCCCCTCCTGCAAGGCCCCACTTGGTGGATCCTCAGCTCCTGCACTCGGGGCTCGCTCCAATTTCTCCGATTTTCACACATCCTTCCAGACTTGCAAGGCTGGCTCTGGAAGTGAGGAGCAGTTGCAAGATTAATTGCTTTGAAAGCACAAAAGGAACAGAAAATGCCTGAGGGCACTGGGACAGATAATATGTTGTATTCATAAAGCTTTTAATAATTTATTGCCAGCAGCTGTATCAAGTTATTTGGGCCCCTTCCACCGCTCCTTCTCAAGGACGACCCAGGGCCACTCAATTCCTGCTCCAGGAGCACAAATCCAAGGATGCCTCAGGTCCTTTTAGGTGGAGCCATGTTTTAGTAACCACAGAAAACTTGCTGGCTGGTAAGAAATGAAAAGCACTTTTATTGAATTCAGGGCTCATGAAAAATTCTGGATGGATACCCCTGGAAATTGGAAGATTTTCCTCGGCTCCCGCTGGAGAAAGAAAAAGCTGCCCAGGGGAGGGAGTTAAGCCTGTCCTTAAAATTAAGTATAAACCTGAGGGATTTCCTGAAATGCAGCCCAAAATGCAGGAGAGCTGGAGAGGGACTGGGGACAAGGCATGGAGGGACAGCACACAGGGAATGGCTTCCCACTGCCAGAGGGCAGGGAGAGATGGGATATTGGGAAGGAATTGCTGGCTGGGAGGGTGGGGAGGCCCTGGCCCAGGTTGGGCAGAGAAGCTGTGGCTGCCCCTGGATCCCTGGAAGTGTCCCAGGCCAGGCTGGAGCAACCTGGGCTAGTGGAAGGTGTCCCTGCCCATGGCAGGGGGATGGAATGAGATAATATTTAAGGTCCTTTCCAACCCAAACCATTCCGTGATTCTCAGCCCATCCCTTCTCCCCAGCAAGGCCAGCCCTTGCCACTGAAATCCAGGCTGTGAAGCTGCTCCCTGCTCCACTGAGCTGCCTCATTTCCATGGAAATAACGTGTTCATCACCAATGTTTTGCTGTTGCTGCTCCTGGGCTCCTGCAGAGACGCTTCCCTGACCTCTCCCAGCCTTTCCTTTCTCCTGCTGTAATTAATGCCCTCATTCACACCCTCTCGTGGCCTCGGCAAGTCAGAGGGTGGCATAAAGACCTTGGCATTAAATTAATTCATCCCCAGGCAGTGCAAGATATCAGCAGGGATGGTAAATAGTAAATGTCCCCTTTGTGAAGGGAGATTAACTCATTTATGACACACCGCCCTGCTTGTTCCCACGAGGGAAGGCGAAATCAGGGGGATGTCATCCATTCAAACAACCCACTAAAAACACAGCTTAAATCCTGAGGAAGGGTTTGCCCAAAGAGTTTGGAATTCCCGGGGAAATAAAGACAGGCTGCTGCGTCTGTACAGCAACAAGGGTTTCTGAGCAGGTTGCAGCTAAAGACCTGCCTGGGACACAAAACTCAGCATCTTTCTGGAGAGAGGGCACACAGTTTCCAGCCTCTCCCCTTCCCCTTCGTTTCACCAAGCCGTGCCTGTCTTTCAGGCATTTAATTAGTTTGATTAATTAGTCTGATTCTGCAGCACCTATGAAACCTATTCATTAAAACACAAGTTGTTCCTGCTCAGCCTTTTCTTTAAACCTCCCTCTTCTATTTTTGTCCAGACCTGCCACATCCCCTGTGCTGGAAGAGGAAAGGTAAAAATACACTCCTTGCCTTGTTTTCATTGGGCTTTTTTTTGTTTGTTTGTTATTTCCCTGATTTTCCTCTCCTGAAAACCCCTAGGGCAGGTTGGAAGCTGAATCCTCGTCCAGCAGGGGAAAGGGATGGAGAGGGGACAGGGGGGCAGGATGAGGTCCCTGTGGCCTCCCTGCTCCTCTGGCAGTCCTGGCACCCTCGGGATGTGGCTGAGGAGCCACGTGGCACTGACAGCCAGTGGGGTGGGTTTCCCTCCCTGCAGCAGCTTTAGTGGCTTTTAAGAGATGCAAACAGCGAGCCAGTGGCAGATCCTGCCCAGGCTGCCAAATTTACCCTCCAGAGGGGATGGGAAAGGCATCTCGTACAAATCCTCTAAATTAATGGGAAAAAAAAAAAGAAAAAAGAAAGGAAAAAACCAAGATGAGCAGAAAATGAACCGGGATCTTGCAAAAAGTATTCCACCCGGTGATGTCCTTGTTCAATCACAGAATCCCCAAATTATTTGGTTTAGGATAATGAGCATCTTAAAGCCCATCCAGTCCCCTGCCGTGGGCAGGGACGCGTCCCACTGGCACAGGTTGCTCCAACCTGGCCTTGGACCTTTATTCCGTGTTCAGTGAGAGCCATCACCCAGCTGCCTCCAAGACACGGATCCCTTTTTCCCTATCTCTTTTTTTTTATTATTATTTTTTCACTTCCCAGGCCCAATTTTCCCGACCTGCGAGGTGATAATTGCTCCAGCTTCACTTCGCAGCCCGTGCCGGGGAGAGCCCCGCGCCTCCTGCTCAGGCAGCGATCGATCGGGAGCGTCTCTGTGTTCATGCATTCACAGCCCTCTCCCCGGCACAGAGGGCGAAAATACCTGGCAGAGAACTGAAGGAGAGGAAGGAATTCTGTTTTCATCGATTTGTGAGGGCAGA